TTTCTCCCGCCTTCTTAGCATGCTTTCGTTGTGTAGTGGTCAGCACGCTCGACGAGTATTCTAGAGGTCCGTGATTCGAGTCCCGGCGAGGGCATTGCAAATTTTTCACGTCTTTCAGCATCAGAAATCCTAGTGTCTCTACAAGGTTAAAAGTTAAGCAAAAAGTTTAAAATAAGTAATTAATAAGAATTAACCATTAATAAGAATTAACCCACGATTGTAAATTCCGAATTACTAACGGTAAATTTTAAAATAATTTTCAAATCTGCTATTTTAAACTCACCATTGCGCATGCATAAATACTGCTGCACAAGCGAGCATAACATTTCCGATTCCTCTGTGGTGGGAATTTGATAATTGAGGACATGATTCAAAATCCAAAAAAGGAGAAATATCGTCAATTTCCAAAAAGATGGGAAATTTTTTGTTGTTGTTGTTACCAGTCCCACTTGTCTGACCATGGTCAGCACAATCTCACGACGTCCATCGAGTTATCTGCTCCCGTCTTTAGGAAAACCCTTAAGCAACATATAGGCGACAGTCCGACTTAGCTCAGTTTCTCCTCCAATTCGGAGAAAGAGCACCCTGGGAGAAAGGGATGCAAGGGCTCCCCACTCCTCTACCTCTATCACCACCCTCTCGAGAGGATTTTCCGCTCGCCGCATAAATAGACTGTTCTTAAGGGACACAGACATTTTCAAGCAACCATGACTTTTCCGGGATTCAAACTCGGTCCCTTCGGTACGGCAATCATAGTCACTAACCCCTATCCCGGTTAGGCGGCATGTTCATTTTAAGACAAATAAAGAGAAGATTTCCTGTAAATTGCATCAATTACCCTCAACGGCGCTCTACTATGTACCATCTGATCATGTATATAAATGCACCATGTACCTATTGCTTATGAATCGAATGACATAAGTACAGTACACTCCCGATTATCAGCGGAATTGGGTGGTGCGGCCGCCGCGGATAAAAGAAATCGCGGATAATCCGAAAAAGGCTAAAAACAGGTATGGCAAAAGAGAAAACAGTCATTCCAACTTTGAAAAATCGTTTTATGTACAATATAACGTAAAATAAACAGTAGGAAATGTTTAACTAACGCTTAATATTTTAGTATATCCTTCAAAACTAACGTAAAATGCATTTTGTTATCGAAAACAGAAAAATGCTTTGTATACTTACAACAGGCGTCAAGGATACAGAGAAAAATTAATACATATGTACTGTTTTAATACTGTAACGTATTATGTAATTACAAAAGTATAACTGTAAAACTACACCTTTTTGAAGAAATCAGTCGTTTGTGTTTGCTTCTTTTTTAAAAGCATTTTCTCTTTATCCGAGATTGCATTTTTCGTAGCATAAGTTTCTCGGCCAACTCCGCGTCTTCTTGTTCTTCCAACTAGCTCAGCAGTCCATCGACTTGTTGCAAAGCCCCTTTGCGTGAGTCTTCCGCTAAGTTTCTCCCCAGTGAAGGCTCCAATTTCTCCTTCACTTCGCTGTCCTTCATTCTCGGTCTCTCCCCTTGCTTTCTTCACAATTTCGTCATCTATCAAGCGTTCGAAGCCAGGTTCGTTGACGTCACATTCCAACCACTCGTTAATGTTTTCAGCATCGACGTTCTCACCACCCGAAACTGTTTTCACCATATGGGCAAGAGTTGTCGTGAGCCTATCTACATCTTCATTCTCTTCACAACTCAAAAGGGTTAGGTTGTTGTTAGGCTTCAACATTAGGCATGAGTCTTCTCCATGATTTTATAAAGGTTGACGGTTTCACTGAATCCCATGCAGATGCAATACCGTAGATGTTGTCCAAGATTGTGTAGTGTTTCCAAAACACTTTCAGATCATAACCTTCCTCAATTTTGGTCATTAGTAGCTTGGTTCTGTATATTCTCTTCATTGTTGCAATGACTCCTTAGTCCATGGATTAGCGCAGTAACGTTTGGGGGGAGAAATTTTGCAAAAATTTATACATCAGAAAACTTTGGCACGCTTGTTGCTGGTTGAAAAGGTGCGTTGTCGATCAATAACACAGCTTTTTCAGGCAGGTTTTTCGATTTAAGATGTTTACGCACTTGAAGAACAAAGATTTTTTCGAAACATTCTTGAAAAAAGTTTTCGGTTCATCCATACTTTTCTTTTTTTTTTGGTTAAAGTAATCAACGGGTAAATTTTCTATCCTTGTGCCTTTGAATGATCTCGTTTTTTTTTTTTTTTTTTTTTTTTTTTTTTTTACTTTCCAATGAAAACAAGTCTAAGTTTATGTCCACCGGTATCGTTACTGCAAGACATGATAGTGATCCTTTCCTTGCTGCTTTTATGACCGCCGCTTTACTTTCACTTTCAAATGCTAAAGTGCTAATGGGAAGATATTTCCACAAAAGTCTTGATTCGTCGTCATTGTAAATTTGTTAAAAAGATAGCTCTTCTTTTAAAACAAATGCTTCAAATTCATGGTGGAAATCGTCGGCTGCTTGTTGGTCACCACTAAGTTTCTCCCCATGAAATCCAATTTCTCGAATTCCATGTTGCTGCTTAAAACGAGTCAACCAGCCAGAAGACGCATCAAAATTTCCTTTCAGGCCTAACAACTCAAAAAAGGTTTTTACCTTCGCCGAAATGATAGGACCATTTACAGGAGTACCCTCTTTTCGAACCTGAGCTAACCACTCTGTCAATGCCTGTCTAGCTCATCAAACCCTTCATAGTTTTTCGCCTTTTCATTGCGGAAGCACTGTCCGACATTGATGGAAAGTTCACCAGTTTGTCTTTTTGCTTTAGAATGTCACGTACTGTTGTTTCCTCGATTCCCTAATCCAGTTCCAACTGCTGCCTTTTAGCGCCGTTCGCTACTTTGGAAATTAATTCTAGTTTTTGCGCAATCGTCAACACAACCTTCTTTCGTTTTCCTGACATTTTAAATCAGTAACTAAAAACACAAAACCAAAACGCACAAGCACTGAACACAATAAAAGATAAGAAATTAACTTCGACCGGTTCGCAAACACTATCAGGCTTAAACTAACAATGGCGAGGGGGAAGAAGTGGACGTGTCATCAGTAAGATTAAGACGAGAGAGGGCGGTGGAGCGGGCACTGCAAGGGTGAGTAAGAAATCACTTACTCATCAGAGGGAAAGGCCTGGGATATTTTTGCCATAAATAAGCAAGATGTTAGCAAATTTAACCTTTCGCTCAGTTTTGTGAACATTTTTATTTTCTTTGCTTTACGCTTGTAGGAAAAAAAAAAAAAAAGCTTTGTGCGGCAGGCGCGGATAATCGGGAATCTACTGTATTGTAAATAGGTAGTACAGTATAGCACTGTAAATAGGAAGCGGTACCCATGAATCCTCATATATTTCTACGTAACATGACACAGTAAGGCAAAATATCAACCTAGTTGTCCTAGTATGAAATTTGTAAGCACCCATTACTGTCTGTCTATGGTAATAACAGCTCTCGCCAGTTTGTCTGCAGCCCCTACGAAAAATGCCCTGGCCATTTTTCGTAGGGGTGTCTTGAAGATTTGCTTCTCAGTTTGCCACCTTGGCGCATTTAAAGATGATTTGGCGATATTCACATTTTGTTTTAGTTTCAAGTAAAATGCTCTAAGACCCTTTGCATCGACCCCGACATCCAATTTCCGAAAATGAAAATTCGATGGCGTAGATAAAACTTTCGCAGTCAAGAAACGGTCTTTGATTTTGCCGTGTGAGGTACAAGTCGCTGAATTTGCCATCCTTCTAGGTGTACAATGAGTAAAAATATATCAAAATAACTTGTAAGGAAATAAATTTAAAAATCCGTGCTTATTTTTGAAGAATAATTTTAATTTTTACATTTAAAAAATCATGCTATCATTTTTCTTCTTTTTTGTTTATTTGTTTGCTTGCAAAATCCTAGATGGCATCTTAGAAATCTACTTGATTGCCCCATTCTCTGTAATATAGTATAGATGCACTTCATAAATGTAAAATAAATTAAATTTTTATAGTTCTCCCTTCTAGTTAATCTACTGTGAACATTCAAAGCAATTTCTTCAGTCTTTAAATGATGTTCTGCTATGCTTTTATTTCAAAATTTTCTGTTAATTTATTGCTTGTGCTTTAATAATGACTAAAAATTTCATCATTAAATGTAATGGAATCACCTGAAAGTAAAAGCGTTTATTTACATACCCATGCTCTCAATAAATACTTTTTGCGAACATTTCTTCTTTATTCATACCTTCAAACTAAACCAAAAGTTGGTCAATTTAATGGCGAAAGGAAGCGAAGGTGAATTAAAATCAAAACTGCTTTTTCCTTAATTGCCAGTGGTTTGGGTTGGTTTATATGATTACGGAAAGCCTCCAGGGTTAAATGCCTAAGAGGGGGCTGCCTTCGTGGAGGGCTTGCTAAGGGGAACTGGCTCGCATACATGTTACACATGGGGAGCCCGTTCACGCGATTCAAACGTCGAACAGAACTATCAGTGTTCAGTGACTTTACCGATCGGCCGCTGCTGGGCCTCTTAATTACCAGCACCCATTTATGTATTATGCTGCTTTTTATAGACACTGTAATAGCTAGTATCATAATAAAATGTTAAAATCAGAACAAAATTAAGGTCTCTTAAATTATTCAGTTACATATTTTATATTTAAAATTATACGAAATTAATATAAATTATACAAAATTTGGCTTTTATAACTGCAGTGAGCTTTGTTGCATTAACATAATTTTGTATTAATATTTTCATAATAAAACGAAACTTATTTAAATTTCATTAAAGATTAAAAATTATTTTTAAAGCAAATTATACCATGGCTTGTGGGTCCGTAAGAACACAGTAATGGGTAATAAAGCAAATATTCAGTGTTCTTTATTATCCACAAGGGGGGTTTCGCTTGTGCCGAAGTCTCACTGTTGCCCACTTTTGGTAATCTTTCATTTACAGAGTAGCAAAGAAAATACTGGACCTATAAATATCCTCATAACTTGACAGAGCTATCAGATGAAGAAGAAGGATGCCTTCTGGAGGACTTTTATAGAGGTATTAACATCTGAAAAGTCGTCTGAATCACTGTCGCAAGATTCCGTTTCTTCTGAATCAGAATCAGAATCGCTGCTGCCAGTTTGAATTATTAATTCATACACTATCTCTTCTAGATTTTCGTCCTTGTCCCAATAAGAATTTTCAAGTTTTTCTATGTAATTGCAGTGAGCCTGCCATTCCTGAGAAGTGACTTCATCCAAAGCTTTTTGTGTTAAATTTTTCAAATTTTCCAAGCTTAAGTCCCCAGTCACATTCCTTTTCCTGATCAGTCCTTTAACTGATGACCAAACATATTCAATTGCGTTTAGATCACAGTGGTAAGGAGGGAGACGCAGAACATGATGCCCATTTTTATTTATGCCCATTTTGTGATGTCAATTTTATAGATTACTTTTTTAGGACGATTGCATTCTATTAAGTTAAACAGTTCCGCTTTTCGCATTTTTGGATCGCAGCATATCGTCTTCTTCATCAGCCAATTAACCATTGTTTGCTTTGTAGCATATTTCGTGGGTGTCGGATCTTCAATTTTTGTGTGATACGGGGCAATATCCATGCATACCACACTTTGGGGTCGTAAATTTGGAAGAAGCTTTTCCAACACCCATTTTTTAAAATTTCCATAGTTAATTTGCCCATGGTTTCGCTTTGAGCTGATGCTTTATATACAAGTTGGGCACCTGGAATAAATCCTGCAGAAGAGCCAGCATGGACAACAATCAGTCTATTTCTTGAACTGACATTTATCTGTGCGCCCAAAACCGTATCATGCTGCCAACATTTCTTAAAAGTTAAATTGCTGTCACTCCATGTTTCATCGATGTAAACGATGTGTCGTCCATTTGCTCTGAGTTTCCTCATTTCGTGTAAATAATTGTTTCTCCAAAATACAATGCGAAGTCTTTCGATAAGAATTTTTCCTTTGTTAACGCATTTGTTCCAGCGAAAATTCATTGAACGCAAAACTTTCCACAAGGAGTCTTTTTGCCACGGGAAGTCTATTTTTTGCCTCAAGACAGGCAGTAATTCCCGCACAGGGGGCACTTTCTTTTCTTTTATGTAAAAGTCGTGTATTGTCTGCCGTATAACGCATTTGTCAAAATCGTCAATTTCGCACTTATGATTAGCAGGGCTTTTACGTTTCTTTCCATGTGTATTTAGAAGTTTATTTTCACAAATTGTTGATAATTCGCGCTTAATTTTTTTATCTGCATATTCCGGTACTCCGGTAGCTTGCGCTGTTCTCTTCAAAACTTGAGGAAGAGGAACCACTAAAGAATTCGCCGAAGCCTCAGAAGCGCAAAATTCTGCGACATTGTACACGATTTGACGTGCCTGAAACTTTAAAGGTTGACCTTTCTTAAACTGGAAGGGCATTTAAAAAAAATGGCGATTAACAAAGCACTACGAAAATCAAGCTAAATAGAAGCAAATTGGAACAAATACAAGTACAAAAGATATAACAACGAGGGAAAAAAATAGCTAATACTAATAATATAAGGCTTAAGAAAAGATGCGTGCAGCTGGAATGAAACAGAGAAGACGAATGATAAACTCTTTTCCCTTCAGCCAACCGTCACTAAAAACAAAATAACAATAAAGCAATTCTTGGTTCGTCCCTATTTGAAATATACTAGCCCTGTTGCTATAGCGAACGCCACCCGCCAGACACCGTGCGGGAGCTGTTCTTACCGTAGACAGACAGTACTAGTTATAGCATTGTTTTATGGATTTAGAGTTTATGCAAGCATATGAAGTACTACATGTTTATGTCACCAATGAATATTATGTATCAAATATAAGCGTATATGCTCTTTTGTCTATATGTAATTGTGTCTGTATGTCTTTGTTTATATGTAATTGTATCCATGCATTTACTAGTATTATTACATAACTTTGCACTATACAGCTTACTATACATCTATTACGCACTGAATAATCATGTACCTAATGTGTGTGTACACAATAGCTATTGTGTATCCAAAATGTCTATAAATATGTACATGAATTTATGTTCTGTATATATGATAATGTAACTATGCATCGGCACATTTTATCCTGTAACACGGCACTGTGTCGCAAAAATCAAACTAGTGTCCCATTCTAAAATTAATTGCACCAATTATTTATTCAGCATTGTATTAAGTACATATTGTTAATGCATGTTAAAACAGCAGGTACCTAACGCACGTACCCACTGATTATTGTGTACCTAATACACGTATATTAATATCTTTGTACATAGGTTAATGAACCTAGGAAACAGCACAAAAAAATCTAGTAGCAAGACATTGTAACACACAGTACTAATCGTCTTTAATTCACTGTCTACTTTTGTCTATCATAATATACTGTTTCATTAAGGTCATAGTGTAAACAACATATAGTACACACGTTATGTTTATGCTACCGTATCCAGCTTTTGCTACATCCTGTAATGGGAATGTATTACTAGTGTCTAACATTAACTAGTTTTAACATTGTATTAAGTACCAAATTTGTCTGTATGTTTATGTCTTTATGCACAATGACTACGTATTGTTATCTAGATAAAGGTGGACGATTAACTCTTTCGCATCGAAGTCGCCCCAAACGCCTGAGCATTTAGACATCGGGTTGACGATGTTTAAATGCTCAGGCGTCAATAAATTTAATTTGTGATGTTGCATAGAATTTCATGTTCAGCAAACAGTTATCTAATTACTTTGTTTGCAATTGCAATTTTAATTAAGCATTTAATTGAATTTGCTGCAAAGTACGGATATTTTAGTTTTTGGTATTATATAAATTTTGCAAACTTTACGTAGGTTAAGAAGTAAATTAAATGCTTTAGTTTAAAGATCCCTGATCTTGCCGAGGTGACGGCTTTGTATTGTAGAGGTTTTCAGGAGGAACATTGGAGATCATTTCCCCGCCAGGACTCAAATCTGGACCTCTTTAATGCTCGTCGAGTGTGCTATCGTTACACCAGAAAGGCATGCTGGAATGAAGGAGAAGATACCTTATATACTCCCCTATTTAAAGGAGACCAATCACCAAATCCTGGTGGTAAAGAATCATCATCCACCACCTTTTAGTTAAGGGCCGCTGTAGAGACATTCGGATTTTTGAAGCAGAAAACATGAAAAATGAGCAATGCTCTCTTCGGGAATCGAATCTGGACCTCACGAATACGCTTCGATTGGGCTACCGTTACAACACGAAGGCATGGTGGAAGGAGGGAGAATGTACATTATAGTATAACTGTTATCAGAGTTCTAGCAATTTATGTTTAAAGTAATGCAGAACCATAAATTTAGGTTGATTTCGTTGACACACGATCGCAAGTGGACAGATATTACACATTTATAAAAATTTATCAGGCTATCTAAAGAAATTTCTTCAAATAAGAGTCATAAATATGAAATTAACGTCTGAAATTGCTTATAACTGTTCACATTTTTTGCCCATTTGTCTTGTCCACATTACAAAATGATAATGACTAGGAATTCATTATCTAAATTATTGAACAAGTCCGCGAAACGTCAGGATAAACTCAAAAGCGTTTATGGAGAGCAAAGACACAATAATTTACAAGGATCTCTTGAAAGAACAAATTAAAATATTTGCAGGACTGTTACGTGAGCAGGTTCGTACTTGAATGCACACACGACGTAATGCTAGCTTAATAAAATTTACATTTACCAAAAGAAATGCTTTACAATTCTGGAACTTTCCTCAAAAGTATCCATACAGCTGTTCTCAGTATGATAGAGTATAATTAATAATTACCTTTCAAACTAATCAGAACATTAAACACAGTGCAATGCAAAACGCATCTGCAAAAGGCAAAGCTCCGATTGAAATCTTTCAGTACTCCACGCTGAAGTAAACAACTGAGAAAATTGCTGCGGTCTCCAATCTTATATAGTTTTGCCCCGGCCGCCGGGAAATGTCTAGTCACTTCCGTTTTTTAAAATTACTGGAAGACATATATTGTTAAAGTTCCAATTTCTTTAATTAAATAGCTCCACTAAGCCCTGTTAAGCTTCTAAGGCAGTACAGGATGTTCGATTAGTCATAGTGTTAAAGTTAAGTATAGGGGTTCGGATACATTTACAGTTAACACACAGGTATCCATAATATATATATTTAATTAAAGTACCATTTATAGTTGTACAGGAGCTGGACCCAAATGTCGTCAAGTGTAGCGATTTCTTGCCAAATGTGACGGCAACATTATTCGCCAAAATCATCGCCAGCTTGGTGATATGTAGCCAAACTATCAAGATAGCAACTTACTCAATGTCAAATGAACTTGCCCCTGTAATCGCATTTTTCCGGCGGATCTCTGTTACTTTCTAACATTTCATATTACATTATACAAGAAGTGCTATAATTTTACATGTAATTTCACTAAAATTATTTGCATGCATGCAAAATTCGTATATGATTGCTACCTAGCTTGAAATAAATGATGAAACTGAATGATCAGAAGAAATAAAATTAATAATTTTTACAAAAAATAGAAGAATACAAGTAAAGGGGAATAAATCACAATGCCTACAGAGCTAAAAAAATTTTAGCTAAAATAGTTTTGAGATCCTATTTCGAAGTCGATATTTTATCATTAATAACTTCTGGAGACAATCTTGTTACAATAGGTGATCATTTCAAACGTGACATCATACACTGGTTTCCAATAATTAAGGGAAAATCACCCAAATTGAGATAACTCATCCAAAAATATGCCAATCCGTATAAAATTTTAATATGTTGTCAAATATGGATCGCAATGCCACTAAACTGCATAACTGCAATGCCACTAAACTAACCTGAGAGAAAGCCTGTAAATTTCGCTGTGATGCTGAAATAAGAAATCCGGGATAGCCAACAGACAGTTTGCCCGAAGAGCTGAGATGAAGAGGTGTTGGGAAACTAGCTACAGGATAAAGTCAGACGGAAGAAGCCAGATGGCTAAATGAAGTCCTGTTTTCAGGCAACAATTTCTAAACACAGATTCGGCATCCAAGAGGCTCAGGCAAAGACGGCCATCCCCTACGTCAAGCGCCGATGACCGATATTTGTTGTTATGCGCACGAAGAATTGGTTTCGCATCTCCGACTCACCTCAGATCCTCCATTACTGCAGTGATCAGAAAGTGGGCAAACAATTCAGACACGGAGTGGACAGCTTGGTCAATGGAGTTCAATCCTATTGAGCATGCCAAAATGCTTTAAGAAGTTGTATAGCTGCTCTCAATTCGTCTCTTCAGCTACTTGCCTCATTTGAAACTGCATTGAAAGAGCAATGGCTCTCACTCCCTATGGAACTGATAGACCGTATAATTGACAGCATCACACATCGCTGTATATGCTGCATTGCTTCTAGGGAAGTTCAAACGCCACATTGAAATTAATTTTCCCATACCAAACTGACACATCCGATTTGTTCAATTTATCCGTATGCTCATTTTTATAACACCATCATTGTCTCGTAATTTCTTTTTTTGTAATTTTACACTTCACTATGCGATGTATAATATGGTTAAGTTTCATTAAATTCTACACATATTGAGCAATCGTTATTTTTGTAAAAATTCTTTAATTAATGAAAACCAGTGTAGATAGAATATTTCGAAGGAGGATGCAGATGTAGATACAGTGAAAGATAACAATAT